AATTCTCCTAAATCACTCGTACGCACAACTTAAGAACAAATCTGTGCGTACCAACGGTTCTTGCATGAGGCCCATTGTGTTTTGGAAACCAGGAGCATGGTACGTATCTGTCTTTCCAGGTTTCTACCTATAGGAACAGCACTATGGGACATGTGACTCCTGGGCCTCAGGAGTCTTTAATGTAGACCAGTCTTCTATGAGGATTAGTCTCAATCACACACTGACATGCCCAGCATCATAAACACTAATCAAACTGTTGAACTTTTAACTTTAAACCCTTTGGTCACCTTACAGACTAACACAGATACACATTATTTTAATACTTTACCCCAGCTAGAAGGATGGCAAACCAGCCTTTAGCTCCACACAACAACCCCCGTCACCCTTTTAGCCAGACAAACACTCTAAAACCTAAACTAAACAAACACTAATTTAACTTAGGATCAAACCTACGACGGCGTATTAGGGCCACGTTGCAGATGAAAAAAAAGGAGCAAATATCTGAGAAAAAAATCTCAGAATTTCTGAGATTAATTTCAAAAATTTGAGAAAAAAACAGGAAATTCTCTTATTTTGAAAAGTTGCAAATTTGCAAGAAAAAAAACTCAGAAATTTCCATAATTAAAGGCAGAAATTTGCGACATTTAAGCTAGATATTTTCTGACATGGTAAAGTCAGAAATTTACAAGAAAAAAACTCGTAAATTTATGAGAAAAAAAACGCTGAAGTTTTCAGGACTGTCTAAAGGGCGATTCCACCTGTTTTCACTACCTTCAGCTTATTTAATCTGCTCTAGTTTAAAAACTAAAACACGTAGAGACTTCAAACCTGGACTAGATTATTCTACACTGATGCAGAATGTTTAAAACCAAGTGTGTGATTTGTGAAACATTTATTTGATATGTGAAGCTTAAGGAAATATTGTGATTTCAGTACTTTTATGCATTTTTTCACAAATTTCTGCCTTTAATTATGGAAATTTCTGAGTTTTTTCTCGCAAATTTGCGACTTTTCAAAATAAGAGAATTTCCTGTTTTTTCTTAAAAATTTCTGAAATTAATCTCAGAAATTCTGAGTTTTTTCTCAGAGATTTGCTCCTCCTTTTTTTCATCACTAAAGTTGCCCTAATACGCCGTCGTACAAACCTCAATTGAGTTTTATTTCAGTTTATTTATATTAGAGCCAAGTCACAACAACTGTTGTCTCAGGGCACTGCACACAAAACACAATGGGTCTCATGCAAGAACCGTTCGTACGCACAGATTTGTTCTTAAGTTGTGCGTACGAGTGATTTAGGAGAATTTGTGGCATTCACCAATGT